ACTGATGCATTGCACGCAAAAATCCAGCAATAAATTTGCGCCCCAGAATGTATCGCACGCCCCAAATGTATTGCAACCTCACAAATCTATTGCACCAAATCTATTGCACCACCCCCCTGTCGCTGGACTCCTTTTGGGTCAACCCGATAATTACAGCCCCCCCAGGAGGCCAAAATGGGGCCAAAACCTTAGTAAAACAAATGATTATGGCTTTCTCGCCGAGGCCGTTTTGGACGCTCCGACGCCTCGCGAACCCCCTTGTCCAAGTCCAGGGGAGGGGGTAAGGGGAGGGGTCAACCCCTCCCCGAAGGGGAAGAAGGAGGGGTGGAAGAGGAAACTCCCTAAACCACCGACGCCTAGAGGGCTGGTGGGATTCCTCGACAGGTCCTCAGGGCTTCTTGTTAATCGGCTTTGAAGTTGTAATCTGGCACGCTGCCAGGTTCATGCCCGGGCGTCTCACGAGGTCAGACGAACCCAATGCCCCAAGAGTTCGATTCGATCCGATTTCGATGTCCCTCTGTCACTCTCTTCCAACCCTCTCCATCCTCAGTCTTCTTCCCTCCTCCACGACTCCTGCGCACGCTCCTCTGAGAACCCGTCCTGGCCCGTTTTGCTGCCGAAAACTTGGCGTGAAGTGAGAAGCGCATGAGCAGTCCACAGGCAAGACGCTGAAATGAAGACCACCCTGAGCTCAGGAGGGGCTTCGGTTTCTGGGCCGCTCCGCAAGTTTCTGTCGTGGAGCCCACTCGTGGCCGAGGTTCCCTGTGGCCAGAAGAGGCCCAGCGTTGCTTTGTGTGGGGTTCTTCATGGCAGCGCGATGATTGCATTGAACACCAGATCCTCGCCGAGCGCGTTCCACTACTCGCAAAGTGCCTACTCGCAAACGTCCCGGAATCACATCTCGGCTTTGATGTAATTGATCGTAGGTCTCCCGCGGCGTATTCAGGCCATTTGCAAGTAGTTACTTTGCGAGTGGTGGAACGCGCTGGTCTAGAGCCGCAGGCTCAGTTGGGGGCGCGTAGTTGTACGATTTGTGATGGGCCGATGTCGTGATCTTCGCCTCGCGGCGCTCTCTTTCTCGAGAGAGAGACCCTACTCCCGGTGGGCTGGCATGGGCGGCAGGTGCCCCGTGGCCGAGAGACCTCGTCGCTGGCTTCCCTCGCGGCTGCATGCAGTCAAGACTCCCAAGACGCTGAAATAAGGACTGCTTCGGGCTCAGGGGGGCTAGGGTTTCCTGGCCGAGCCTTGAATTTAGTTCGTGGAACTTGTTTGTGCCCTAGGCCCGCCGAGGCAAGAAAAGCCCCTTTCGCTCCTTCTTTTTGACGCTTCGCGTAACCCCACCAGCTCAGGATGGCACGGGGGGGGGCTCCTCCGGCCTACCTTCCGCGCAGCTCACGGGACCCCCTGCCAGGCGGGACACATGGGACGGCAGGCCCAATGCTTCCAGCAGGGCCTCCTCGCAGGAGTCCGCTGACTGGCCTCGGCTCGAAAGAGAGGACTTCACTGACCAGCACAGCCGGCACGGCGCACCCCCAACGGTAACGAGGAAGGTCCTGCTCGAGTCATCAGCGGTCGCTGCGGCTGACGCCACTACGCAGTTATACTCAGCACCCACCAACAGCGCAGCCGCTCAGTTCCGCCTTCACATCCCCATCGGTGCAGTTGCCAAGGGCGTGAACCTCCCAAGACACTGGGAACAGGACCTGCGGCAAAGGGGGCGTAGCCTCGAGCGACTGGCTTGGACCGAGCGCGTGGCACCCACCGAGACTGTCTGGGACAGTTCTACCAAGGCCAGAACGGACCTGGAAAGGAGACAGAGCTGCGCGCTAGGCGTAGCAGTGACCCCCAGTGACGAGCAGTCACCGTGCGACCTCCTTGACCAATTTAACCTTGGGAATGCGCTCCCCACCCAGACCGGGAAGATTCGTTTACACCTGCATTGGCCCCAGGAGTTCAAGGTCCTCCTCAAAGGGCAGGACGCGGGACAGGATGCCCGCATGCTGCTCCTCAGCATCACTAGCCCAGCAGCGGACCAAGTGGCCATTGTCAAGCTCTACTGGCCACCCGACCTCGGAGGCACAGCTCCTTTTCGCGACTGCGAGGCGCTGGGGCTCAGGCAGGGCACCAGGTACCCCAGCAACGAGTGCATTGTGGTATATGACGTGGAGAAGTTTGGGGAGTTCCACGCTGACGACCGGATCCCAAGAACACCCGACGTGGGAGAAGCGTGGAACAGAATGGACAGGGCCCCCTCCCTGCTTCAGTTTCGCCGGATCACCACCGCAATCACTGACATCTACAAACTGCAGCAGGCCCCTTGCGATCTGGTGGGGACCCCATTGGACGTCATCACCTACCTTCTCACTTTTCGTACGGCTGACAAGAAGGACAAGACGTTGGCCAACTCCGTGAGGAACACCGCACTCTGCGGGCAAGCTCTACTCGCACGCGCCAGGTCCACCCTCAATGAGCGTTTCCCCAGCTCGGCTCAGACAGCAGCGGACAGCAGCGCAGCCCCACCCATTACCCCCGCGGAGCCCCCGGCCACCATCCCCTTCACCGTTGCTTCCTGGCTGCGTCCATAGACGATGGCTGGCGCACTGGCCCCACCATGGGCATCGGCGCGGTTCGTGGAGTGAGGGCTCTGTTAAACCCCCATTATGCTTCTGTCTCTGTCCCAGCCGGCCCCGCACACGGCGGTGGTACGGCCCTCGCGCTGAATGGTTCAGCCTTCAACGCGTCGGCACGGTTCTATCTGCATCTGGTATCCGCGAGTTGCAGTACACCGGCCCCGTGCCAGCATGTTCTTGCTCATCGTTGCGACCCCGACATGTTACTGGCATCGGCACGATGACGACACGCCGGCCCCCCCTCCCAGCTGTGGAGCTTTCCGCGGAGTGTGTGGGCGGTTCTGTACCTGCAGTTCACCGACTCTCATTGTGATCTGGTTGCGGCAGGTCCAGTCTTGGCTACACCTCTACGCCTTCAAGCTGGCTGCGGCTGCAGCGTACCTCCGCAGCCCTCGCCCGTTACCCGATGGCAGCAGTACTGGCGCTTAGGCATGCGTGTCCTATTATCGTGGTTCAGACTCGTGAGTGGTTTCGGAGTCGCTGGCTGGTCGGCCCCACCGTGGGCAACGGTGTGGATCGCGGAGTGAGCGCTCTGTAGGTTCCTGCCTCTTCTGCCCCTGTCTTAGCCGACTTCGATACGGCTGTGGTACCCTGGTACCACCTGTCCGGGATAGGTCGGCCGCGCGGACTGGCGCCAACAGGGCGACTCTCCGCTGCCGAATGAGGAGCATTTTGCTTATTGCACGTGCACATGCAATCATTGCATGTTTTTACTGCAGGTGTGTTGCCTGTTGTAGTATTGCGAGCTGGCTTGCCGACACTGGCGGCTGTGTTCGCAAATTCGCACCGTTCCGCCGCCCCGGACGCCGCTTCCGCTCCTAGACGGTCGCTTGGGGGCCGCCAACCAAGAAGTACCCCCACCAGCCCATCCAGAAACGAGGCCCAGGCAAGTTGCCATAATCAAGGATGTGGAGACGCATGCAGTGAAATAGAGAGCTTAGAAGCCATCATACCCCAAGACGGCGAAGATGGAGGAGGCGGGGGAGGAGGGGGATGGGGGAGGGGGAGGAAGAGGAGGAAGAGGAGGGAGGGGGAGGAGGAGGCGGAAAAATAAGCGGACGAGGAAGAGGAGGAGGAGGAGGAGGAGGAGGAGGAGGCGGGCGAGCAGAACAGGCCAGAGGCCTCTTGGATGCCTGTCGGAGTTTCTTCGGATTGGGAGGTTCACGCGGTTCTGTTGCGGCGTTTGGGGGGCCTTTCAGCGGTCCTGGGGGCCTTTTGGAGCAGCTTGGGTGCCTGGGGGGGCCTCGTGGAGCCTCTTGGGGCCTCGTGGGAGCTTCCTGGGCACCAGTTAGGGGCAGCTTGGGGCCTCCTGGGCGCCTCTTGAGGCCCTCTTGGGGCACTTTGGGGAACCGTAGGGGGCCATCTTGGGGGCCATCTTGGAGGAACTCGATCAAAGAAAGGGGGTACTCAAGTAGCCTTGCCCCCCCCCCCAGGATGCCAAAACGGGAAAAATGGGTTCCAAACTTATGCAACACGAGCGATTTGTGCGTTCTCGCCGAGGCCAGAAATGACTCTCTGACACCTCGCGGCCCCTCCCCGCATGTGGCCGTCGAGTGTTCCGAGCGGCTCCCCACACTCCCAGACAACTTCGGGGACCCCGATCCGATCTGCGTGGACCCAGGCGCGGTCCTCAGCTCCCCAGAGGCGACCGCTACATCAGCCACTACTCCACTGGGGTCGATGCCGTCTCCCACTCGCCGCGAGTGCGGAGGACATGCTGTGTCCTCCCCGCTGTCTCGCGCGCCTCGCCTCGTGCTCCCGACCGCGCTCGCCCTCCCCGCTGTTCGCACCCACCTCCGCCCGACGGGTTGCCCCAGCCCTCCCAGCTGTCCTGCCTCCCACCCTCCCAGCTGTCCTAGATCTCCACCGCTCTTTCGCCTCCCAGCTGTCGTATCTCCAGCCCTCCCAGCTTCAGGAGGGGAAAAAACACACAGACACAATTAATCGGCGATTCCCAGAAAATATGGGAAATATGGGAAGTGGGGGGGAAGACAAAAACCCAGAAAACATTGGAAAATATTGGGAATATGTTTATGTGTGTGTGTATTTATTTGTGTGTTCCAGTTCCCCTTCACAGCTGTCCTGTCTCCAGCCTTCCCAGCTCCAGGTTCCTTCGTCTCTGGCTGCGCCAGTCCTCCCAGCTCTCCCATCCCCACGGATTCTACCCGCCCGCTGCTCCCTGCCCCTGGGCTTACGTCGGGCCTGTCCCTCTACAGGGGGGATATTCAAAATCAGTTGTTTTAAAGATAGTCAGGGGACCATTCTTTGAGTATGCTTTGGGGTACTTTTTTTTATGTTTCGTCGAAAATCCGCCTGCAGGGGGGCAGGCCCGACTTAACCCTGGGCTCTGCCAACCCCCTCCCCCCACAGGTGCCCCACGGGAGCGTCGGCCCCTGCGGCTCCATGCAGGGGTGCGCCACCCCGCCAATGGCACCAGGCTCGGCCGCGCCGCGCGTCGCACTCGCGATCCGGGTCCCGATTCGATCTCGCCGGCTCGGGATCCATACCCGCTCGAGTAATGGAAAAATCATGACGGGAGGTTTTCTTAATTTTCGGCCTCCTGGGGCCATCACAGGGCCTCGGGAGCGTCAAAAAACGACTCAGGATGCAAAGCCGGTCATGGGGAAAGGGTCGGGACCTCTGGGGGTCGACGTAATAAAGAAATCATTACGTCGGGGGTCTGGGGATCTGGCTCCCGCTTCGATTCGCCGGCGATCCGCAGCGGCCCGGTTCTCCCTCCATGCGATGCGGTTGCAATTTTCTGAGCCGCTGGGTCCGACCTGTCGAGCTGTTCGGTTGTGGTGCGAGCTTGCCCGCGTGTGCTTCTGCGAGGGAAGCGACGGGCGATGGGTCGACGAGCGCCGGCCCGGAGACGGGCAGACGTGTTTGGTGGGGACCGGGCGACTGCTAGTTCTGGGGGTGCAGGGCCCCAGTTCGCAGACGGGCCGCCGGAAGCCCCTGTGTGGCTCCCCGCCGAGCTGGCAGCTGGCATGCGCCTGGCAGCAGCAGCAGCAGCAGCAGGCGCCCTCCTGCGCTCGCTGGGCAGCGCCGGAGAGCCAGATCGCGACTTGCCCTCGCCCGAGGCAGCCGATGTTCTGGGCAGCGCTCTACCCAGGCTTGCTGAGCATGCCTCGAATGAAACACAGCCCCTGTCCTCTCTTTTACCATGGTTCGTCTGGCTGCTATGTGACGTACGTGCTGTGTGTGGGCGAAGTCTGCGTGGTGCGCGCGGTGTGTGCATCGCCTGCTTCGTGCGCCTGGGCGGGAGCCTCTCTTTCTGCTGTTGGTGCTCGGGGGGACCCTCGCCACCGTCTGGTGCCAGACGAGGCTCGAGATCATTGTCTAGATGGCGTTCCGTCGGTTTTTGTTCAAATGCGTGTGGGGGGGGGGGCTCGTCGCCTTAGCGGGGCGCAGATCGGAAGACATGTCGAGGTAATGCTCTGGGGGTAACGAATCTGGGGACCGATTCTGAGTGGAATGACGTTTCATTGGCGCAGGTGTTCAGGTGGGCCCGCTGCATTTCTTCTCCATCGCCTGAGTCGCGGGCTCCCTCTCCTACTGCACGGCCCCGAGAGGGCCCTGGAGGACGCCTCAGGCAGGCCACGTGCTCGGTCACGAAGGTACAGGCCCACACGCATGTTCCTCTCGCCTGGGCACTGCTCGTGCTCGGTCGCGTGCACTTCGATCATGACCTGCCGCTAGCGCGCCCGAACCTCATTGTCGCCCCTCTCCCATTATATGTTTATTTTTCATATTCTTCTTCGCCCGTCGCGCCGACTAACAAATAGAGCCTACGCGGCAGAAACAGAGTTATTGTGTGGATCTAGACTGGGATGCCAGACAATGCATCTCAACGCAAATTTAACATGGCATTGAAAGTTGTACCAACACCATCTTGGATACCATGGCATTGCAGTTCCGTGTATTCTGTATGGCGTGGCAGCGCATGACATTGCAGATCTTGGCAGAGCATGGAATGCCTTACGGTGCCATGACACATAACAGCAGCGCAGGGCATTGCATGGTATAGCATACTTCTGCATGCATAGCGTTGCATTGCATGTAATATTGGATGGCAGCGCAAAGCTAGCATAGCATAGCATGGCGTGACGTGACATACCACTGTATGTCAGGCGGGCCTAGCATGGCATGGAACATCATGGCATGACATGGCAATGCATTCCGTATTTCAGAACTTATGTTACGACTTTCCGTAGGGCAGCATTGCGTTGTGTGGGTAGCAGATCAGACCGTTGTATGCCACTGCATACTTATGTAAGCGGCGTCCGGGTCCCCGGGCCCAGGGGGAGCCCACTTTCCCCCCCCCCCAGGCCCGCGGACCTGCTGCAGAGGGCCAGCACCCGAGCAGGCCGCGCCAGCACGGGCTGGACAAGGCACGCCCGCGCTGGACGACTCGTCCGTGCCCCAAAAACTGGTTCGGGAGCTGCCGCGACCTCCTGAATTAGATGCCTCGCTGACGCTGGGCAAACTAAATAGTCCAGCGTGCGGCGCGGTTGCGCTGCGCATGTGAATGGGACGGCGCACGCGTATGAAACATTGCGTGCAACGCGGATCTCTCCCGAGGCTAGGTGCGGCCAGCCGCTGACGTCTAACCCTTCTGGCTCACAGTTCCAACCCCCCATGGCGATGCAGGGCGCGCGGGGGAACTGCGACAAGGGGCCTACACTGGCTAGCTTGCGTGCGCTTGTACCTCTCAGACCTATGCCTGTGGTCCAATATATGCCGAAGCTGCTGAAAACTTGGCCTGCTACTTTAGTCTGGGACCCTGCAAAGTCGTGAAAGTCTACTCCGCTGACAACTGGCTTCTGATGTTTCTGGAGATCTCTGAGCCGTGGCGCTAGGCTCGCTGGCCGCGTGCCTGCAACTCTCGCAGCCAGCGGCGATGCCGTCGGGCCTCGAACTCTTCTCTGATGCGCGACTTGGTGTGAGCACATGCTCCAAACCCGTGCCCACCCGCGTGTCCACATGCTCGTCTGCATCATCTGGTCGAGCGTGCACTTCTGGTCGCACGTAGAAATCAGATTGCTTCGCCTGCAGCATTCGCTTGGCCGTCGGGCCAAATTTGGACAGGCTCCTCATGTACAGGGTGCGCGTCTTATCATCACTGCGGCCCGTGTCAAATCCCCTGGTGCACACGCTGCCGCAATCGTCCAATCTCTGCCTCAGCCTCCTGCTATAAGGTCTGTTTCTTGGCCTGCCCCTCTTCTGCCATGGGTCCGTCAGCAGCTCGCGGGGGCGCGGCCCCAGCTGCGCCTGGTGCCGCTGCGCCAGCAGCTGCTGCTGCGGCGGCTGGCCGCTCCCCACGCTGCGCACGCCGTCCCCCAGCAGGCTGAGTATCCACAGGAGGAACGAAAACGCCAGCATCTGGGTTCTCCTCGGTCTTGCGTTTCTTGGTGCCACGAGCCGCGACCTCTGCCAATTCCTTCTGGATGTTCTCGGGATCAGTGGTGAAGTCTCCCATGGCCTCCTGGATTGCTTCTGGAGTAACTTGCTGACTGCCTCGGAGCGCTCGGCCACAATATTGTGGTCGTTCCCTTGTAGTCCCAGTCCGTCGAGCAACTTCCCGAACGAGAACTGGAGCTTGATACCACCCTTGATTACCGAGCCGGCGTCGATGACTGGGAGTTGGTCTTCATCAGCTTTACCTGGAACCTCTGGTAGCACTCTGCATGCCGCCTCGACCTCGTCCTGCTCCGCCGTGGCCAGCTCCGACGTCGCTCTTGCCAAGGCCTCCTGCGCCTCGGCATGCTCATCCTTCGTGCGGGTCCCTGACCGTCAAACTTAAGCTTAGCGCGGCAGAAGCCTCGCGAAGAGCACTGTCACTTCCCGCGCCTGTTCAGCGGCCGCCGCAAGTAAAGACGGGCACGAACCCAGCTAGCAAGCGTTCCAGGAGGGCCGCGGCCAATAAAAGCAATGCTCATCCGCAACAGAGCAGGCGTAGGCCATCACGGACAGGCAAGCCGAGGAATAAACTCACATGTGAAAGCCCGCCAACGCTAGAGTACTGCGCCCAGGGGATATCGGAGAGGATTGTTTGGAGTCGGAGGATGGATGGTTATCGGGGGGGGAGGGGCGCGAAGAAGATCCCCAGGCTAGTCAGAGCCAACCAGTAGCCGAGCAATTTACCACTTCCTGCGCCGACTGTCATCCGACCAGCTTGACCAACTTTGGGGGGTCAGGAACGCCCGGCAAGCGGCGCCCAACGTCTTGCAGCCGCCCAGTCCCGTCCAGGAGCCGCCAGCTTTCCAGTTGGACACAGAAGAAGCACTGGCGCGGGGACCCGAACTTTGGTTTCCCGACGGCAAGAGCTGTCTGCGCCGCCGCAGAAGCGCAGCGAGCTCAGGGGGCGGGGGCTTGCCGGGGGGATCGTCGTCGAAGCAGATGCGCAAGGCGCCAATTTTGCCCCGGCATCGGGCAACGGCGAGTTTCCTTTGGGGGGGGAAGTTATTTTGCCTGCCGCGCAGAGAAGCGCGGTTCCAATCGCTGTTGGCCAGGACCCAAGAGCTGGCCAGCCAGCCCCCAACCTCCTTATGCCTCTCCCCACTCGCCCCTGGGGGGCCTCTGGGGAGGGGCTCGGGCACTTGGGCTAGGCCACGGATGAGGGGCTAGATGATTCCGGCTTAAGAAGCCAGACGCAATGCGACAAGGTTGCGTCGAGCATTGCAGCGCATGGATCAATGAGTTGGGCTGCTCGGGCAATCGCCCCCAGGGCCGCTTTCGTGGGGGAGGTGAGATCAGCGGGCACCTCTGCGCCAGATGCCATCCGCCGAATTTGATTGAAGGAGGGCGTTTGCAGCGCCAAGTGGGGGGCTTCTCGCAGCAGGTTCGGAGTCGCTTCCGCTTTGGCGGGAGTCCCGGAGACTGGCCGCCGAGGGCCCCCTCCCCATGCTCGTGCCAGAACGCGTCAAGAGAGTCGTTGCCAAAGCTCCCAATCGAGCGGGCGGCGCAGACCAGATTGGCAAATCAATTAAAATTCGCACATTTGCCGCCAGCAGCGATCGAACAGCTCGCGCTCTCGCTCGCGCCATCGAGGCGCGCGCGTGCTGGCCGCGGCAAGTGCTCGCAGTGACACTTACGCTGCAAGTTTTTTTTGGCGCGCGCGGGGCGCTGGGCGCAGCAATCGCAGGATTGTCAGCTCTCTAGCAGTTTGGAGAGCGTTCTAGGGTGAACTAGCTGAGCAATCGAGAATTCCAGATTGCGCGCGCGCCGGCCTCCACTGGGACCTGCAAAGGTTCTGCGCTTCCTCGATGCGGGAGCTAGCGCTGCCACGTGCGCTATCGCGCGGTTGTCCAGCCATATGTTTCGCAGTCGACTTGCAGGTGCACGTGTCGCCCAGGTTCTGCCGAGAGCAAGGGCGCTTCTCGAGCGCGACCCACCCCGCGACGTCGTTGATCCTGGGCTCGGCAGGGGCAGTTG